CCTGGGGGGGCATTGGGGATGAGCTGCACGTCTACAACACAGGTGGGCACCTGGGGGGCACCTGGGGGGGGCCTGGGGGCGTGGGGTGCACAGGTACAACACAGGTGGGCACCTGGGGGGCACCTGGGGGCGTGGGGTGCACAGGTACAACACAGGTGGGCACCTGGGGGTGTGGGGGTGGCATTGGGGATGAACTGCAGGTGTAAAACACAGGTGGGCACCTGGGGGGACCTGGGGGGGCATTGAGGATGAGCTGCACAGGTACAACACTGGGGGGGCACGTGGGGGTGGCATTGGGGATGAACTGCAGGTGTAAAACACAGGTGGGCACCTGGGGGCACCTGGGGGGGCATTGAGGATGAGCTGCATGTTTACAACACAGGTGGGCACCTGGGGGGCACCTGGGAGCATGGGGTGCACAGGTACAACATAGGTGGGCACCTGGGGCCATGGGGTGCACATCTACAACACACGTGGGCACCTGAGGGGCACCTGGGGGGGCATTGGGGATGAGCTGCACGTCTACAACACAGGTGGGCACCTGGGGGGCACCTGGGGGCGTGGGGTGCACAGGTACAACACAGGTGGGCACCTGGGGGTGTGGGGTGCACAGGTACAACACAGGTGGGCACCTGTGGGCGTGGGGGTGGCATTGGGGATGAGCTGCAGGTGTAAAACATAGGTGGGCACCTGGGGGGTACCTATGTGGGCACCTGGGGGCATGGGGTGCACATCTACAACACAGGTGGGCACCTGGGGGGCACCTGGGAGCGTGGGGTGCACAGGTACAGCACTGGGGGGCACCTGGGGGGGCACCTGGGGGTGTGGGGTGCACAGGTACAACACAGGGGGGCACCTGGGGCCATGGGGTGCACATCTACAACACACGTGGGCACCTGAGGGGCACCTGGGAGCGTGGGGTGCACATGTACAGCACAGGTGGGCACCTGGGGGGCACCTGTGGGCGTGGGGGTGGCACTGGGGATGAGCTGCAGGTGTACAACATGGGGGGGGCACAGGGGGGATCCCCACAGGGATGGGATTGGGGCTCATTCCTGGTGACCCCCCCCGTGCCCCTGTCGCTGTTTTGTCCCCACAGCCACCAACCAGTGGGTCAGGGGGTCGTTTTCAGTGTGTCACTGTCCCCTGTGTCCCCACAGCCACCAGCCGGTGGTTCAGGGGGTCACTCAGTGTCCTCTCTGTGTCCCCACAGCCACCAGCCGGTGGTTCAGGGGTCATTTTCAATGTGTCACTGTCCCCACAGCCACCAACCAGTGGGTCAAGGGGTCACTCTCAATGTGTCACTGTCCCCTCTGTGTCCCTACAGCCACCAGCCAGTGGTTCAGGGGGGCACTATCAATGTGTCAGTGTCCCCACAGCCACCAGCCAGTGGTTCAGGGATCATTTTCAGTGTGTCACTGTCCCCACAGCCACCAGCCGGTGGTTCAGGGGTCACTCTCAGTGTGTCACTGTCCCCTGTGTCCCCACAGCCACCAGCCAGTGGTTCAGGGGGTTGTTCTCAGTGTGTCACTGTCCCCTGTGTCCCCACAGCCACCAGCCAGTGGTTCAGGGGGTCACTCTCAGTGTGTCACTGTCCCTCTGTGTCCCCACAGCCACCAACCAGTGGTTCAGGGGTCATTTTCAGTGTGTCACTGTCCCCACAGCCACCAACCAGTGGTTCAGGGATCATTTTCAGTGTGTCACTGTCCCCTGTGTCCCCACAGCCACCAGCCAGTGGTTCAGGGGTAATTTTCAGTGTGTCACTGTCCCCTGTGTCCCCACAGCCACCAACCAGTGGTTCAGGGGTAATTTTCAGTGTGTCACTGTCCCCTGTGTCCCTACAGCCACCAACCAGTGGTTCATCCCGGCCGTGCGGGGGGACATCCCCCCGGGCTGCGCCGCCTACGGCTTCGTGTGTGACGGGACGCGGCTGCTGGTGTTCGGGGGCATGGTGGAGTACGGCAAGTACAGCAACGACC